CCCTCCCCTGTCTGAATGCCGTTTGTGGCACTTTTTATCAACGGCATTAGTTTTTCCGGCGGATAAGGCCGCATACTGCACTCTGTGTACAACGACGATGAGGATTGACCCGCCGTGGACCACATATATCCGCGCCGGCTGGCTGGCTCCACTCGCTGGGATGGATTGGGCCAAAGCAGTCAAGAGCTTTATCAAGCACCTAGAGTACCATGCGTCTCACCATGCTCTGGAATGCCCTCTTGAAGCTGATTGTTCCTCTGGTCGCTATAATAATACATTTCCTTTGGTGGTTATTGTCGATCCCTGCTTCCGTGGGCGTAGAACGGCAGAGATACTTCCATCCGATGATAACCAGAAGGCCTCAACTTTAGCTCCTCTGCAGTCATTGCCAGAGGAGATACGGGAAGTCGTTCGCGAGTTGAGAAGATTTTATGCGGCGCGCTCGAGGATGCCACGTAGCCCGCTTCCAGCTGGGTTTGGCATGATCGGGGCATACCTGCAGCCATTTACCGGAAGGCTTATAGTCTACCAGCGTCTGAAATCTTGGGCGCCTGCCGACTTCCCCGGGAGTGTGTTCACGCTTGGAGTCAATCAATCGCCATTTGACGATGCTCTAGGCTATGCGCTATTGAGGCGATCAATCGGGGAATATATACGAGAAGTTCACGATCAAGCTCCGCCGGAACCTCATAACCCGGATTATCCCCTCCAGCTAGACATTCCTCACCGCCCAAGCTGCTCGCGCGAATGTACCGTGCCAGAAACGTCAGGTGATATTCCCTGTTTGATGCTATCACATCTCTAGCGCTTGTTAAACCTTCTCGTTAGATTCATCCGAATGTGCTGACGACTCGTCTATAACTCTTGAAAATGCGCCTGAAAGTCCAGGCCACGTGAGTTTCAGCAGTGCTGGTGTCTTCGCTCATCATCCTAGCCAGGCGGACTTGCCCCTTTCGGAAGAATACATCGAGGTATGTCGAGATGTCAACGGCCGTTACAAGTATATGGCATACATGAAAATAGAATGCTTTAACATCTGCAATCAGATTCTTGCTTAGGTTGATAGCTCGGTTAGTAATCAAGAAGAGTGTGTCGAGCATGTGTGTCGGGTAGAAGGGAGGAATACAGCTGCTATCAGTCGATGCGGTGCAACATCATTGGATGCTGTCGAGCACACAACTCGCGTCACACCACCTCCCAAGGAGGAGACGAAAGCTACTCTGAATGTAATGAAATGAAAGAGCTGCGACTCCTCTTTTTAGTTCATAGTACTTGACCTAGCACTGTGCCGTGCTGTCTACGAAATGCTGCTTATGATCGTCCTATCTTGTTTAGGTTCGTCGGTGTCATCAAGTTTTCGAGTGTACCGCTCATTTGAACGATAATGCAAGCAAGGCGACCACCAGTTCGTTTCAAGTGGAAGATCTGGCTCACTGTATGCGCGGTTATGATGGTATTCCTTCTCACCATTCTCACGACCCAATGCGAACGATGAAGCCGAAGAAAGCAAAGTTTTATGAGCTCTTGCCTCGAACACATAGAGCTACTGCTAGTCAAAATAAGCGTAACGGTGCCAACCAGATAGAGATCGATGGATTCAATTACGACTACCTCCTTGATCGGTCGTACTGGAAAAGTTACGTTAGTGCCGGATTGAAGCAGTACTACTCCGATTTGTACGAGGAAGGCCTCATGTGTCCAGTCGACACCCGTATATTCCATCAGTTCGAGAATCCCGTGGTGAGCGGGCTCCTTTTTAAGGATTTACATCGTCGGGTGGATGGCCGTGTAGTTTTACTCAGTGGGCTATTTGCCGGCTTGCCCGAGAATGGCGGGTGGATGGTGCCAAAAGCTGGAGCGGTGATGGCTTGGATGCGAGAAGGGAAGATCCCGGTACTATGCTGTATTATCATGACTGACATCAAAGTCGTAGACGCCAGCCCACAGAACAGTGCCTTCCTTGTCTGTTGTTGTCGGGAGCATCTTGAAGAGGCTCTGCCAAGAATGCGACGCCATGCGGTCCGTTGTCCGCTCCGATGGCCTGTCCATCAAGGTCCCACCAGCCGCCCACTCCCGCACATGATGTTTTTCGGCCGATCATTGGCTGCATTCGATTCTCAAGTGTTCGAGTCTGTTGGAGGAGAAATGAAAGAGTCCGGGGTCACCCAAGGCGAGGCCGTCCTATTCAGATTTCTCATGCTACTGGTAGAACATCTCTCTACGGGACGGCCTATGCCTTTTGGCCTGCGAAAGCTACCCAAGTGGGCCCTAACAGAGCAAGAGCTTCGACCTTTTGATATATCGCGCCATGGTGGCTTCAACCAAAGATGGGTATCAGCCGAGCAGCACTGGAAGGCCAACGCTAGCTTGAGAGTCAGAAATTTGCAGCCTGGATTACATCACAGCTTACGCGCTCCGCAGGACTTGGGAAGGGCATACGACTCAAGGCCGCTCAGATGACCTGAGTCAGGTCGATCGAGACTAAGGTAATACCCTCCTCCATGTTAACTTGTCGTCCATCGTACTTCGCATAACCGCTATCACCCGCCAGCTACTCAATCGTTCAGGATCAAAAAGGAAGTGTTCATAACCCCTACTTTGCTCTAGAAGAAGTCCTCATATAATAGGAAGTCCTCACATAATAAGAAGTCCTCATATGACAAGAAGTCCTCATATAATAGGAAGTCCTCATATAGCACTAAGTCCTCGTATGTAAATACCGGTGGTGCATGTATTTTTCCCGTCTTGTATAAGTTGTGTTATAAAACGAGTGGCCCAGAATGCTCGAAGTCCTAGGGTGCTAAGAAGGATATAAAGCCACTAATTCTAGCTTATGCAGTAGAAACCTGAGGTTTCAAAGCTGTGAGTTTGGATGTGTAGATCCTGCGTGACAGGGTTTAGTGCACGTTTCATCGCCGTTCACAATCGTAGCAGATACCGGGCGTCTGATGCCCAATATATACCATCCCGTGATAACTTTTGACAACAAATCAGGGGCATTAGTAATGCCGCATAATGCGGCCCGCATTGTTCACTTGATTGGTCAGCAACTAACGGTCAGTGATCGAGAAACATGTGGGAAACAAGTGCAACTTGCGCAGACTTGAACCCTGTTTCTTAGGTGCTCAACGGTTGAGCGAATCATGCCAGGTCAAATTATGGATTATTCGGGTTTAATAACAAATTGTTGTTAACAATAATATGGCCATAATATGAGTCATATTATATTACGAAACTGGGTCTCCTGAACAGCTTAAGGGACCTCGGTGGGAATCACCGCGTATGAATAGGTTCATTGATCGGATCAGGAGTTTCCAGATAATTAATGAGATACAGGGCAGGGACGGATCGATGCGACTACAAGCTGAACCCAACAAGAGAAATCCAACGATAACCAAACGCAATGTGCCGCAAAACGCACCGAATGGGAGTGTCATATACATAAAGAATAAGGATCTGAGAATACATGTTGATCATCTTCAGTTGCGATAGTTGATCAAGTTAGCTTTATCTTCTACTCGGAATCTGGACGACGAAGGCTTACAGCAAACAACTCGCCAGGCCATTTCAGTAAAACCTGAGTAACTCAAGCTGCCAGACTCGATCAAGTGAGACACCTAAACTTTCGATCCTCAAGTAACAGAGAAAATCCCTACCAAGCATTATTATCTCTTATGTGAGAGTTTACTAGCTGACTGGTTTCGTTCCCGTTTTGCCTGTCCACGTTCCTGATCTTAGTGTCACAGTGTTTCGTATTGTTTGGAACCGAAGGCCAAGAGAAACTGTTGTGGGAAGAGCTGAGGAAAGGAAACGGATCCTTTGAGAGGTTATTATGGGCAGAGCTTTGGACTAACAGAACTATGAAAGGATGAAAATTGGCGCCTCGAGCGCAGAAACACATCCAGCTATGAGAAATAATGCTCCCCGAAGTTTGATAGTGATGGGGGAATGTTCCTAATGTGGTGACATTCACATAGGAAACTGATTGAAGAATGTATTTCTAGTTATGTGACGAATACAAAGCACCGGAACATTATAGGTTCCTGGATGATTTTCTGCTCAAGCGAGGACCTTGTGTCCTTTTTCCATCAAAGCGTACCCTTCTGGAATAATGATGCGATTTGTATGAAATATTATTGCGTAGATCTATCGTCATTTGTGTTTCGATGAATTTGATTCCACAATGTGAGGGTCCAGTTGAGGTTTGTAGACTCAGTCCACACAGCGGTTGTATTATACAACTTGTATAGGAAGCGTCACAGATTTTTGTGTCCAGCGGAGGAGACCCCTCCGAGGGGTCACTGCGCAGCAGGGAAATACGTGCTGAGCAGCCGCTGCTCAGCAGCGTTAAGACCGGAAAAGGCAGTCAGTTATTTTTCGTTGCATGGGAATCAGTCTTGAACTCCGAGTAATATAGGGTGTAAACAGCTAGTCTAGATCGTCTCTAGAAGCTGACATGCCTGCAGTGGGAGAATGAGCTATCAGAATTCCGGATTCGGAGACTTGAGCTCAGCTTGATGATGCTTCGAGGTTGACATATGGTACATCAAAACCCGTGAAAACTTCAAAGTTAACACGTGGCGAAAGCAACCGCTCGTGGAAGTTTTACTAGGAGTTTTTCGGTGGATCCCGAGGAGTTTTTTTTGGAGGGGCAGCCATGATCCGAGGGATGCCTCCTCTTTCGATTCGAGATAATGGACCGCGTTGTACTTCAGTAATATTGAAGTACAGTGTACTTAGCACACGGGTGCGACGGGTATTAATTGTATATCACCAACTGACAAAAAAAAGTTCTGAGGGTAACCAGTAGAGAGTGTCCATTCGGTATAGTGCGTCTACCATGGTGGTAGTACCACCATCTGTCAGATCATCTGACTCAGATGGCATCTGATGTGCACCCCACCACGAGGGTATCCTATTGAGTAA